TATCATGGTCTATTTGTAACGAAAATGTTCAGTACGACATATTGTAACATTAAAAATTGTGCCGATTCACTACATGTATAATAAAACAAATTAGCAACTCTCTTAAAATCAATTGAGAACTTATTTGACATACTTAATTTGCTAGCAAATGTACTTTATTTGTACGAATTTCATTTTTTTCCAAAAAGAAACGAACTTTAACTTCTATAATTGTTTTTAATTAAAAGAATATACAGATTTAAACTGTAAATGGTGCATTTTAAACCAAAAAATTTATTTAAAAAATCGTTTAGTTTAATGATGCTGGACTTTGATCTTCTATTTATCTGACTATAAAGACCATGCGTCGGTGTCTGATTAAGTTGTTGCCCTCCCAAACATTATTTTTTTATGACAGATGGATACAAATTTCATATTACGAATCGTTGTCTAAATATACAAACATTTAACAATATGTCACGATATTTTCCTAATAAGCTATATTATATTTCTTTTACATTGGTTAATATTTTTTAACCCAAATAAGTTTTATCAATATTTTAAATAATATCACATTGAATGAATACAGCTTAGTAAAATATTCATGCGATTGTCATAGCTGATGCACCAATACGTATTATCGGGTGCTGATGACCTGTGCAAATCAAAACTTGACATAATTCCACTTGTTGGTGAACTTAGATTCATGGTCTGTATAACCGATAAGTTCTGATTTATTATATATAAAATTTATGATGATTTCGTGTAAAGAATCGTAATATGATGTCAGAGAACCGAGGTGGCTTAGGAGATAGAGAGCATTCGCATCCCAATGAGAGGAACCGGGTTCAAATCCCAAGGATGGTTGGTTGATACGAGCTCCACACCCGGCTTGCAACGACCGCAGCGCTGGCGTAAAGTATCGTCAGTGGTAGACGGATTATTGGTTAGAGTATCGTTGCCCTCAAGCTAAGCATTGGAGGTTTTCGTTGTTTTCCAGCGTTGTTTCGTTGTTTTCGTTGTTTTCCATTTGGGTTAGTTCCATCAAAAAGTTCTCCACAAAGGCAAATTTATTCCAATACTTGATCCAAGAGTTCTCTTGTCTTCTGGATTAGGTTCAAAATTACAAGTCTACGGAGTTAAAAATTGATAGTAGTAAACCCTAAATTAGATCGGCTGTTCAATGATGGTTATAGAATAAAATATAAAGTCTGTGAATAAAAAATCCATGTTTAAAAATGGTGCTAACAATAAGTTACGATTATTATCAGAAGTTTGCATTAAACTGTTTTGATATAAGAAATTTGATCGCGTCGAAATTGCATTGCCGTATTGTCAAATAAGATAGATTAAAATTGACACTGAAAGCTAAAAATAGCCTTTACTTAATTTTTGATAACTTCTTCAATTTGATAACTCTATAATTGTTTTAATTTTTCTCTTAAAATTATGGTTTTGCGAGATTTTATTTGCTTCCCTTTTCTTTAACTATTCTGTTTCATCTCAACTATTTTACCACTATCTGAATGACAGCACACAATAGAACAATCAAAGAAAAACACTTTTTTATTGTTGCATACGAACATCTTAACATAGCGATCTGGAAAACGACACGAAATGATTAAGCAAATATTAGAAGTCTGTGACAAAAACGCTGTGCAAATAGGTAAAGCTATTCAATTGGTATCAAGAAAACTTTAACGTCTGTCGATGGTTTTCGACAATGGAATTTAATATCTTTCATATTGATCCTAACTAAATAATGCTGAAAAGTAGGATCAGTTTTCAAACAAACGCATTAAAATTTGGAAACTGTTGAAAAAAACGCAATCCAACTTGTTGCTACCATTCTTGAATCATTCGAATACATAAAGACAGTTTTTTGCTTTTATATATAAAGGAACTTTACACCAAGTGTAATTAATCTGATAATTAATTATATCTTTCTCAACTGCTAGAGATAATCAGTTTTAAAAATGACTTGCCAGTTAAAATAGAATAATCATTATTTCCTTTTTAACTTATTTATAAGTTAGAAGAAGAAAAACAATAGGATGTAAATGAATTATTCGTGCTAGAAATACGGAAGGCTTTTTTAAAGCAAATCCCCTGAAAAAGGAACGAGCAGATATATTTTCATGAATTATTTTCTCCTTTATCTTATGCTTATCTTAAGATATAATTTATTATCTACAACCATGTTTGAAAAATGTAATCAATTTTATTGTAGATTTAGGCTAAGCTGAAAAAAATTACATGACTTTTGCTTATTTAGCGATAATATTTCAGACAACGGAAATGTTTTGGGCAAATTCAAGAAGTGAAACTAATTATTTCGACAAACTACATATGTTTGCAAGAAATACTAATTTAAATTCAGTGTAATTAGATTAACATTGTTTTGCTCTAAATTTCGAGATCTGATTTAATATTAGCTTAAATTAGTTTTCGTGTTTATTTTTTGTTTATTATTTTGTTTTTCATTCGCAAGAATAAAATTAGTTTAATGTAACATTGTTTTGAAAATTATTTCCTAAACAATTTATGACGTTACAAGAATTGTAAGATTAGCTTCCTTAAAAAATAAAAAATCAAATATTTTATGATTCTTAAACACCTATTAAGTTACGTTATTCAATTAACAAGTATGCGATAAGTGTATGAAAATGAAAAATAAATAAATCATAGCAGTAAAACAGAGGTATAAATATCAAAATAGCCGTGTTGTTTGTTATTATCATTATTAAACAATCAAAATATGTTAAACTTTCTTTAAAGATGAACATTAACTTGGAATCGAACAGTAATTAGATAGAAAATCGAATAATTTTTTTGTGCACTCTTAAACATCTGTTTGATTTAGCATCTATCATCTACTTCAAATGTTAAAATATATCGATATTTTTTAAGTGGAATAAAAAGTCGAAAATAATTATTTTTCTGTCACACCTAAGAGGAAGAAAATATGACTCATAACTTTCCAAATATGTAGGGAAAGTTTCGGTGGTGACAAAAATTTGTTAAAAAAAATTACGTTCCGTATAGTTTTCGTACTTTTTTTAAAAAAAAAAATGAATATTTTTTTCTTTTTCAGTTCTTTAATAAAACGAAAATTTTAGATTTTTTCTTTTATTTTAGTATTTATTTTCAGGGTATTTACAAATTATTCCTTCTACTATTTTTGCCCACATCACATCTAAGCCGTTTCGGTTTCTTTCGGTTTGCGAAAACTCAAAAATAACTAATCTCGTTTAAAAATATGAAATAATATTAAAATATGAACGATTTCCAAATGTATTTTTAGATTTCGATAACATGATAAACGAAAAAATACGTAAGTATTAGTTTTACTTTCTTATGTATGTTAGTTGTTGCTGAAAAAAATATAATTTGCTTGTAGCATTCAGTTGTAACTCTCCCCCAATTTCGTCAGAATGAAAACTATAGTTCAACTTTTAGAACTCAGGATAGTCATAAAGTGGTCTAAATTTTGTTTTGAAAAAAATTGTATTTTGTGATGATGTCTACTAACCGTAAACAGAACCGAATTTAAATGCGTATTGCCTTCCAGCACAGAACTCCAACTAAGCTATGAATGAACTAGGTTTTCCAAAATTGTCCGATATTACGGTTGAAAGTAAGAATTCTTTTTTTTAAAATATTGCAATAAATGCTGGTTATAGTGGACAATAAGCAGTTTAAATTTGTATTACCTTCCTGCAAAAAAATTCGATTTAAGTTTGAGTGTTAAATCTACTTGTAAAAGATTGAAATTTTGATTCATGATATTCCTTTTTGAAAAGAATATAAAGATAAATCTTCACGTAGCAGTCAGAAAATGATGGAAGTGTGCATAACTCAGAAATTGAGCTTGTATAGAGACATGGGTAATCTACACGGAGAAAAAATTTTTGTTAAACAACCGTATTACATAGTAATGACATTTTTGGTAAAACAAAACATAATTTGGTTACTGTTTACCGATATTTCTGGTTTTCAAAATCACAGTTTTTACTGCCGCACATATTGTTTAACAACTGGAAAAACTGGAAAATAAATGTAGAAAAATAAATTATATTTATGCCGGAAAAAATATCATATTGAACTTAACAAATTTTACAGCATTTATCAAATTTCACCACATAGTATAAAACCATATTTTATTTTTAACTTTTACCAAAATCATTTAATATTAATTCCTCGTAAAAAATTACCAAGTTTTTTGGCATTCTCATTGAGCCAGAAACACGGTAAATTTTACCATATTGTGTAAGTTTTGATCATATTTTTTGTCGGAGTGGACAGTCAAAATGTGATTGAAATTAATAATAATGCAATAATTCAACTTTAGTATCCATTTAACAAAAACGTAGTAAGAAAAACAAAGTCAAATACAATTTTTAAATGTATATTTCTGTGAAATCATTATTCGTCTTATGGGTTCAATAATTTAGCAAGCTTCAGAGTATTAGTTTTTGAACTTTTGCACTAAGCAAAAATTTAAAAATAGATTTAAAGATTTTAATTTTATTGAAAGATAATTATTATTAGTCGTACAAAGTTAGCTAATTTTATTAATTTTATTAAACTCTCCATCGCTTTATGTCTCAATACCCTTCAATCATATTTCGAACATTAATATAAATTACTGCAAAACATAATCTTGCTTGAAATCATATTTCATTTGTAATAGTTAAAAAAACTGCACATTTTAAAAATATTTGCAGAATTTTGAATTTGTTTTTTCTTCAAGTCCTTCTATAATTTTAATCATTTTTAAAATCGCTCTTTTATTTTAAATTCTTTCAATTTCTTTTCAATTTCAACTTTTTTTTAAAAATGTTCATGTTATTTTTTTAAAATTTCCTCTTTCCTTTCCTTTTATATTTTTAAAAATTTTATTTCTTAAATTCATATGAGCTGACAATAGAAGTGACGTGTATTTCAATAAAATTTCAATTTGGCACGTCTCTTGAAACAAAATATTTTGATATCTAGTAAGTAAAGAGGCATTAACTTACCTCCTCTGAGATGAACTTCTCTACTTCCAATACTGCCAACAATATTGGAAGCAGAACATTTATAAATTGTTGAATGAACATCTTGTCTATAATCCTCCGCTCTGAATGGCGAGAAAGTCAACGCGCCGTCTGGACGAATTAGTCTTAAGCCCGGAATAGGAGTGACACTAACATTGTCTAAAGTAGTCCAAGTGATGTCAGGTCTCGGAGTTCCATTTACGACACAAGGGATTGTTGTTCCTGTATTGTTATAGAATAGAACGTTACTCGGGGGCTCATGAATGAAAGTTGGTCCTTGGTATTTAGCGGAAATTTCTGAAATAAAATTAAATTGTTTACTCAAGATATTTCAAATAACGTTAATAATGTAAAAATAATAATATATAAACCTCTTTTATTTCAGAATAAAGCAGACACATATTTTTTATATATTTTTGTTTACATAATTTTTTATATATTGTAAAAAATATTGTTTATTCAGAAAATTCTTTATTTAGAAGTTACTTATCTATATATTTTTTTTAAAAAAAAGTCTTTAATTATTGAAATTTATCAATATACAGGGTTATTCATAATTCCCACTGGGGTTTTGAAGCGTTATAGAAAAAAAAAAAAAAACGAAGACGAATATGGCAAAAAAGAACATATGAAATTATTCCGAATGTATGCAAGTTTTAATTTAAGCTGTTTCCGGTAGATGGCAGTAACATGTACCATTGAAGACAGTTGTAGTAAAGAAAAATGGGGTTTACAGGTCAAGGGTTGATGGCGTTTACAGAATACAGACCAAGGGTTCACACATAGAACATCTGTAATGTATGTAAGTAAAACGTGAATAATTTCGGAATAATTTCTCACGTTTCTTTTTTTCATATTCGTCTTCTTTTTTTTACTATAACGCTTCGAAACCCCGGAGGTAATTATGAATAGCCCTGTATTTATAATTATATACTATTTTAATATTTAGTGAAGAGTGGAATTTTTTACGAATATAATAATTATTAAAAGAACTATAATACAAAATATAAATAACAATATTTAATACTGTTATTAACTCATTTAGAAACATTCCCTTTATAAACATCTACCCATATCTTTTTGGAAAGATTATTTCTTAAATGATCGAACTACATGTAATTTTATCTTAATACTCTACAGTCATAGTTTTCAGAAAAATTCTTTCACTATTTCTTTTTCAACCCTAAATTCCTAAAATTGAATTTATTAAAATGAATTGCTTCTGAAAATTAGAGCATTTCAAATAATTTAGTAGTTCATTTCTTTAATATTATTTCCTGGCAATTTGATTATTTATAATTTTTGAAATATCCAAAAACATAAATTTTTAGAAATTTTATTTCATGAAAATTCTAATATCATTTATTTTCAAAAATTTCAGTTCTTCTAAGCCCTAGTAGTAACTATAGTAGCTATAGTATCTGTTAATTTTTATATCTACTTAGTTTCAGTAAAAGTTGTTTTACTATTCTATAGTCATTTCTGTTCTACTGAAATTTCCATTCTCTAAACTAGGAAAATTGTATTTATTTATTTACTGATGCTGATTAATCAATTATTTGCAGTTAAATGAAGCTTGCCATGCATATTATCTATCTCAGCGAATAAACATGTCAGATATATGCACGAAATGTTAACAAAAAGTTTATCAAGAAACATTCAAGAAGTATTGTAAAACTATACAAAATTAAAGTGTAAAAATCATGTTAATTTTTAATTTTGTAATTTTTTTCTGGATCATATCATGGACTAAAATACAGACTCATCAAATTAGGTCTATCACCGTAAATACTATTTTTAGCGTAAATTATTGTACAGTACTTTTATGATATAGTATAGTAATATTCATTTTATTGGCTTGATTCAGTTATTTTATGATTATCATTACTGTAAAAATTACTGTATAGCAGATTTTGTTTCAGTATTATATTCCGGTTAAAAAAATTAAATTTGAGGTAAAATTTAAATAGAGGTACCCTGAGTACTGGTACTTTAAACCGTAATTTGATCCAGTATTTTTTACACACTTCTTACACTACTTTTACTCTTTACATTAACTTTTCAAGTATTAGTATTAGATTCGTTTAGCACTAAATTACTTTCAATAGCAATTTCTAAAATTCTAAATGATTTGAACTTCTAATTTTACAAAAAAATGAATCAAATACGCTTAATTTTCAGATATGGCATATGATAAAGAAGCAGGGATTTAAGATGCATGCGTTCTAAGAAAATGTAATAAAAGAGCAATGATCCCATACTAATGCTTTTATTTTTAATTAATGAAACAAATTCAGCTCAAGATTACATCTGAAAATAAATTTTCCTCTGTAACTTCCCGTAATTTTAGCTGCAAAACCTCTCCGCATTTTCTACTTCAAAAGCGTCATTAAAAATCCAGTTTCAAAGCGTTGCTATCAACTTAATGTACCTAGTTTTTAACTAAAAGTTGAAATTAGTTTTCTCTGCAAGATTTTTCTTGCGCATATTACTTTATAATGTTGCGTGAGCTATCTTATTCTTCAACTAAAAGTTAGGAAGAATTTCTAATTCATTTATTCCGTGATGTTGAGTTAAAAAAATTTTGCAAATGCATTTATCTTTTCACAGACTTCTAGCTTTGAAGTTAAATCAATATTTTCTAAAAAAATTCATATCACATAGTATCATTTTTAAAGCAGATTTTAATGTCGGTATTTTTTTTATTTATGTGTTCTTTTTTAATTTGCATTTCTCGCTTCTTCCATTAGGTAAGAATGAAAATATCTGTATTACCATACTTTATTTTAAAATTTGAACTAAATTATTCAAAATGCTTTGGAGGTTTATGGTTTACTTACAGCTTACGAACTAAGCTTTAAAGCAATTCTAAATTGATTTTATGCTAAGACATTTGTAAAAACTGCTTTTGAATAAATATTGGTTGACTATTAGTAAAAGGTGATTGAACGAAGATAAAACGCATTTTTTCATTGTATATTTGGTAAAAATTAGTTATAATTTCATTTATAAAACCTTTGCCAGAAAAGGCTAACTCAAATTCAAGTAATTTTAATACTTCTCGCTAATGTATTTTTTCAAGCAAAATATATAAAATTTTAATGCAGAAAAATATCAACAAAATTTGAATGTTGAGAAAAAATCAACAAAATTCAAATACAGTAATTAGTTAGATAGATTTTATGTTTTATTTGCATAAACAAATATAAAAAAGAATGACTGATATAGTTTTGCAATTATCGCATTCCAAACGAAAGATGGAATTATCCTTTTTTCGATTTGCTGCATCAAAAATATTTAAAAACTCAAATTATGGAAAACATTTTCCACATTTCTTAGTCTGCAAGTGATGGAAACAGAATGTCAATATAATAGTAATTAGAGTTATAAATAGAATAAACAATTTATTTTTTCATTACTCATTAAAAACATTTTTTTTTGCAAACTTCAAGTAATTATTTTATTACTTGTTTTAATTTTGAAAATTAGAATTGGTTAAATTATTACTTTTTTAACTTTTTTTAAAGTACTCAAAAGGTCTTCATTAGAACTATTTTTTTGTATTTTGAATCATAATCGATATCAATATTCCGCTTAGTTTTTATTATACTACTTTTTAAATTCAATTTGAAACATGAGAGAAAAAACATTTTTTTTTTGCTTGATGACTTGAATTTCTATTAATAATCTCGTAGACAAAACAAGTGATATTGATACATTTTATCATTTTTTATTATAACTCAAGCTTATTTTAGTTGCTTTCGTAAGTGGTATTGGTTGGATTTGTCTGGGTAAGTGCTTCTTACCTAAGTAAGTGTTTCCGACATAAAAATTTTCAATGTTTGATTTTCAATTTTGTTTTAAGTTTGTTTCCAGATAAACATTGATTGAACTTAATTAAAATGTTTTTCAACTGAATATGGATTAAAAAAAATTTTTAATCTTAAGAAACTAAATTAATAATTAGTCCATTCAATTATCTTAAAGTCTTAAATAAAATATGATTATTTTAAATTTTTCTCATAGGAGTCAAATAAACTACAGCTGATTTACCAGATTCGCACAGTCCTAGCAAAATAAGAATATAAAATGTGCAATAAACAAGTTGTATTCAGCTCTTTTTATAACATTTCCAAATCAATATTCGTAGTCCCGAAATGTGAGGCAGATAATATTTAATTTTAAACTGGAACCTGATGTAATTATCCATAACATCTTTATTAGAATATTAACACAAATTTTTTAAATTTTCTAACGATTTTACAAGCCATGGTTTTAAGCGGAACCACTTTTTAATACCAAATAAATAAAAAGAAGTTGAGGATGTTAAGGAATTATTGTAACATCTTGAATTCTCTATAATAGCAAAAAAAAAAATTAAAATTGCGTTTTTACTCCGAAGTAAGTCTTTGTCTTAAATATTAGGCTTAAATATTGATTGTAGTTTTTGTGTACCTACCTTTATGTGTGTCTTTTATCTTAAAATATCTCAAAACTTTAAACATTGTCTCCACAGCAAAAAAAAAATACCATCATCAAATAAATTAGTTTTTCTTTAAAAACTCTAATTCTTCCATAAACAACTCATATTATAGTGAGTTAGTTCACTTCTTTACCTGAATTTATGATTAGCAGTGCAAAAATGCCAGTGCGCTCTTAAATGAATCGGTCAAAGAAATCGGTGTTTTTTATTTCGTCCACAGTAATTAGGGATTCAAAGATTTATAAAATAGAGCAATAAATAATATATATTCTGAGGAATATTGAGATATAGAGCATTACTGCTTTTCGCAGATTTTAACATTCATTGTTCATGATCTAAAATCTTAGAAATGTCTACATGCAGATAGAAAAAGTAGAGGTAAAGTTTCAAAATATTTTATTAAAACGTAATTTTTTTCACATTTTTTTTCAGTATAATGTTTAGGTGCAATGCAATAATACCAAGTATTTTTCTTAAGTAGGAGCATTAGATTTAAGAAAAAAGATCATTTTGTTTTTATAAAAGAAAATGGAATAACTTGAAGGAGTAACTCTTATTAAAATCTTATTAAAAATTTTTTTCATTTCCTTAATATTTCTTCTCAAAATTTAGAGTGGTTTATCCATACTCAAGGCAGTTTATAATCATCGTCTCATATAACCGTTAGTGACATTTTTCTAGTAGATTCCAAACGAATTTGCTTTGTTGTACTTTTGTTAATAAAAATTTTTGTTGTTTATTACTGCATATTCTGGTAACAAAAATTATGCTTTTTAGCACAATGGAATGATGAGAAAACAACTAAGCCATTTGTTTTAATCAAAACTTGCTCTCATTTGCATTTAAGTTGTGTTGGCAATACTAAAGACGTTTTTGAAAGTCAAATATTTTTTATTAAAGATAAAATGAAATTTCTCCATTGAAAAATAATGTTAAACAAATAGATAAAAACGTAAGTTTAGAGATAAAGATCTAAATTGATGAAAATGCTATTACTTTCAAAGGTAAAATAAATTTTAAGCTCACTGATTAACTAAAAAAAATTAAAGAATTATTTTATCAAACAAATTTATGCCAAAGCTAAATGGTTGAATTATTTTACAAAGCTAGCAGATAAAATAAATCGTCCAATTAATCATATTTTCGGTAACCAATTTTTCACTTAAATATTTTAAATGTGCTTTGATAAAATAAACAATTTTCTAATTCTATATAATGAAGAACAGGGGATCAGATTTTATTGATTTAAGAATTTTTATTAATAATATAAATTTGATGAGAGGAGTAGTCAATAGCGGGAAAATATTCGAATGATTGAGTGATCAATCACGCAAATTTTATTCATTGGTTGCACATCTTAATTCAAGATATTTTTAAAAATTGACTTGTATAGCATGATGAAAAAAATTATAAATAAATTTGGACTGTTGATTTCCCCAAAAACATGAATTTTACTTTTCATACGCACACTAAATTACGAAATTGAGCTTTAAACATTTGGAAATATTTGAGTTGGTCTTTCAACTTAACGATTTCTAAAATATAACTTAGTATTTTACAGTTTTTTTCGTTTTTCCTTGGTTTATTTTGAAATTGTAAAAAATGTTAATAATTTGTACGTCTACTATATATTTAAGATCGTGAGAGGGAATCTTAAAAAAACGTATGTTTTTTTAAACATTGCATGCGTAGGATTTTAAGTAAGAAGGTGGAAAAAATACCATCGTTATTCAAATTTGTTTTAAAAAAATCCACAAAAAATCGCAAAAAAAATGAAGAAACCCTGATCCAAATAAATGTCCCCATTCATAAACACTCGATATATTTTCATTTTTTATTTACAAATTGCAATGTAATATTAGAACTTCTACTTCTAGAACGAAGTAAAAATGGCCATTAAAAATAATTTTCAATAGAATTATCAGATTTCTTAACCTCTACATTGTGTTGGTATCTCCTTGTAAGGTATAGCTATTGCATGCTTCAGGGCAGAATAAGAGCTCGATAATTTCCTTGAACTTCCTTTCATTAATTAAAACATTTTTTCCCCCGCAATGAAGGTAAGTTCACAATGATAAAAAGTATTTAAGAGCAATAATTGTGAAAGTAATTATTTTTAGAAATAAAAAAACCCATCAACTAAATATGATTTAAAAATTATGCATATAAATATCATCTAAAAGAAGAATAGTGCTGCTGCTATCATGTGCAAAAGGGAGGGATGAGCCTTTACTATACCTTCTTTTTTTTTAATTAAAAATACACAGTGCATACTTTAATCTACTAAACACGCATGGACACAAACATTTTGAATACCAAATACAAGTGTAGAACTGATTTAAATTATCTTTGTAAATAATGATTTTTACTTCAAACCTAAGAACTATTTATCTTCTTAAAATTGAGCTTTAAATTTTTTTTCTTTATTTTATTCTGTACTTTTTTCGGCGTCTTTATTTCATAAAAATCAAGACGTATGTGATTTTTTTTGTAATAAGCTATTAAAATAACTGGTACTAAGATAGAATAAGTGAAGTTTAAGCTATTTTATAATTTAAAAATTTTGTATGTTAAGGAATGAAAACGTTTAGACCATTATTCATATGAATTAAGCAAAAGTAATTAAAATGAATTAATGATAAAGAAATTCATACGATTTGACTTATGAATGAAATTTATTCATGAGTCACAAGTTTAAACTTTGCATTTAAAATAATTTTTAAACTAATTTATGCTTCAAAAAATTCTTTTACAACAGATAATAAAAGAAATGACGCTATTTTAAGCTTGATAAAAATCCAAATTAAAAGATAAAAAAAATTATATCGGGGATCTAAATTTATTACTCTTATAATGCATGAAAAATATTTTACTACTTGTACTCAGATTTTATAATGCTTCCTTTCCAAAATAAACAAAGGAATTACGGTAACTGATGTTTTAAAAGTGTTTGGAACCACAAAAAAAAGAAGACATTTTTTGCATTTTAAAAGTAAAATTTTAAATTTCATTAACCTCAAGAAAATAAGTGCATAAAATTTATTTCACCTGAAGAGATCACGGCAATGATAAAACAAAACAGCCACACATTCTTCGGCATCTCCGTAAACATGCGTGGAAACGTCTCCGTAACCAAGGAGAGATAGTCTTAGAATGTATGCGACCAACAGAAAAGAGGAATATCCCGCTTATGAGCGGATAACCAGGAGCCGCGGTGATGTAAAAGTTTCATTTGGACCGCCAACTGCCTGTCGCCAGTGATCGCCAAATCAATGCATTCCTACTTTGCTCTTTTATAGTCCATTAAATTCAGACAACCGAACAATAGTGGCAGCAACAGGTAATGTCTACACTATCTAATGTCTAATAAAGCAACTATGATTCACATGCAATGATCATGAACTATATAATATTTCAATTACGTATTAATAATTAAAATGCTAAATAAATTGAACCTAATATAATCATTAGCACTACACATTTTTTTAATTTTATTTTAATTTATTTTCTTTCATCTACAAATTATTAGGTAAACAGAAACTTTTCATTTTTTTAACAACTAAGAAATAATTAATAAAATTATTTATTTTGTATTATCATGCTTCTTTCAAGAAATTGAATTCAAATATATATTAGTGAATTTGGAAAGTGTTAAGATATTCGTTAAATAATTTAAATTTCGCAGATATGAAGCTATTTTCATCTGCACTAGGCTAAATTTTAATTAACACTATTCGATAAAAAGTCAAAGACTAAATCTTGCAAAGCAATGAACTACCAAAATTAAAACACTGGTGCCTGTTTAAACAAATGACTGCATATTTCTCATTTTATTGATGTTGCATAGGCATTAAAAAACGAGGTGAACCACACAAATTTTTTACTTGCTTCATGATTAGCAGAAAATGCTGAAGTATTCAATAATAAAGTGAAATATAAAACTATTTTATAGGGTATTTTTTTAAAAATATTTAATGTTTAAAACTGTTTTATTTTTATATTTAAAGATTCAATTTGTTCCCTTACTGACACATAGAAAATAAATATTGTTTATTACTTAAAATTGAGTGTTTAAATCAAAATTAGAAAATATTCGATGACAAGATTTGAATTTTTTTTATTACAGAAACACCAGCGGGTAACCGAGCTCCGCTCGGAGAAAACAGGTATCGAAGCTAACTCGAAGATTTAAATTTTCAATTGTGATTTATCAAAACAATACATGCCATAAGAAAATTTGTGAAACCATTGGTGAAAAGATAACCGGTTAAAGTGCACCATTGTAAACTATCTAAACAAAGTTTGGAAAGGGAACTATTCTATACAAAGGTAAAGTTTGAAAAGTCATAGGAAATAAAATGTAATTGATAACAAAAAATTATACAATTAAAGACACTGTTCACAACGAATTCGTAAATTTGCTTCCGTTCATCCGCTTCTTGAAAATTCTTGTCCAGGAAAAGGCGTCGATGAGAGAGGTATTGTCGAGCATAAAAGACGATGTAAACTCCGCAGGAAGACGCGTCATCTTGGTGGTTGTAAGCGTTGCGAGGTTTCACGATGCATCCTTTCAGCTTTTCATTCGTAACAACGGTATTCAAAACGTGTCGCAGTATTTTTCTCAAAACAGCATCGATGGGCAGCGGGTTGTCGACTGGATCGCAGACTAATAGTTGACGTTCTCCATAGCTTGCTTCGTAAATTCCTAGCATCCAGTGCTCGCCTCTATCCATTTGAGCTCTCTTGTGAATGGGAATGAGTAGCACGTCGAATCCTTGTTGAACGCCGTATAGATAGTTGGAAGCCTTGTTCTGGTCGCTGATATCGTTGAGAAGAGCCATTCCTTCATAAGCGCCATCCGCTGTTGTAACGTAGAAGCGTGCGACAAATTCAGGGTGAAGTACGGCAACTTTGACGGTCGGGTAAGCTTGTTCGGCGTAATGGAGAAGCATTCTGACAATGACGGTATCTTCTAGTTGTCCATTTGCGGGTAGAATTGAGTTGATCGCTTGTTGTTCCAAAATTCCGGCTCCTTGAAGAATTTCATGTAGAGGTGCGTTCTGCATGTTGAAAATGTAGCTTGAAATCTGATGAATGTTGAAATGTCGGACTTTGTTGACGGTGATTTTAACACAAAAGTTAAACTTTTCTCCACTTTGATAAATGTAAACTAATGCGAACCTTACAATTAAATTATTAATTCCTTCGTATATTATTGGTTTAAGTTGTCACCGTCGCTTTTCCTTATTGTAAAGTTCGCATTAGCATACATTTATAAGAGTGGAGAAAAGTATCTATAGCCATTATGGCGAACTAATAAAGTTTGAAAATATCCTATCTGTAACTCCGAACTGCTCGACCGTAGCGCTTCAAAACCGGCTCCAATCGATTCCTCGTGGCCAAAAACCCGAGACCCCCAAGTTCACCGGAGTTTATTAATTCTGGGGCGATTTTCGACTTGGCAACCATTCCTCGTATTATAGTATAAGATATACGCTTTTATAGTATTAATAAATATAAAAACTTGTACAGGAGATAATCATTAAATAAGGGATAAATAAATAACTTAAAGGTATTATTACACACGGAGAAAAAAAATATGGTAAAATTACCGTAAAGTTTTGTAATGAGATTTGTGGTTAAAAAATAATAGTTCCAGATAATGAAACCAATATCTATGGTATTTAAGCGATTCATTTGAGAATTTTTCCGTTTATGTGGCCACAGTATTCTAGAAATTCTTGTTATTAAAATTTCAGTTGTTCTTATTACTACACAATTAGTAAAAAAATATAAAACTGAAAAGTAAATTTTAACGAAAAAAAGGTTTTCATACCGTGCTCTAAGGTATCGCAATAAAATTACCAAATTTTAACATATTTACCAAATTTTATCACATATTTCAGAACCATATTTTATTGTTAATTATACCACACTTATAACTAAAGAGCTTTGATAAAAAATCACAAAGCTTTTTGGAGTTCCCATGGAACCAGAAACATTGCGAGCTTTACCATATTCTAGTAATTTTGACGATATTTTTTTCTCTGCTGAAGAGAAAGAGCATTCGGATCCCAAGGAGGTGAAATAGGTACCAATTCCACCCATGGCTGCTCGATACGAATTTCATACCCAGCTCGCACCGACCACAGTTATGATATAAAATATCCTCAGTGTTAGAAATATCTTGAGTTAGAGTCCTCTTGCTTTCTGACTAAACGATGAGGTTTTCCTGATTTTCCTCTCCATGTAACAAATGCGGGTTAGTTCCATCAAAATGTCTTCAGCGAAGGCAAAATTATTTCACAATACGTGATTCTGGAGTTCCCTTTTCTTAGAACTCAAAATTACAAGGTTACGGTGTTGAACATTGGTAGTCATAAGTTCAAAATCGGATCAGCTGTCGACCAAGATTTTTGCTGACATCTTCCAACTAAATTTAGAACTTTTTTTATTACTAACGCAATAATTATCTGTTTTTTAAATTTACACTTAAACTATTCCAATAACTTTTTTGAATTTTACAAATATCTTGTTTCTCGCTATTAGTGTAAAATCTTAAAATACAGATGCTGTGATTCTATGATCTCACATTATTTCTGTAAATCATCACTTTTTTTATATTCAAATCTTTCTGTGGTTTTAGAAGCTCACTGTACTCTTTCGAGTCATGTTATTAAGAATGTTCGAGCTCTCACTGTTGTAAAAATATAATGAAAAGACATTTTGGCACTTTATAAACAATTTCTAATGAACTAATAGAAATTTGAAATTTTACAACATGAAATAAGCATTATTTCAAGTAATCATTTCATATTTTATCATGTAATCTCAGTTTTCTTCATTATTAAATAATTTTCTGAATGGATACAACAAAGCAGCATACATGAACTTTTAATTTTCAATAAAATCCTATTATAATGTATTTTTCAAATAACCATTTCATTATTATATTATTGTTTTATTTCTTGAACGGTAGTTTAATTATTTTTGTACTGAGAAATTAGTTAATTCATGATATACTTTTGGTCGCTCTTGCAATCATTCCTAAACAAGAGATGTATTTTTTTATAAGGATAAAAGATTTAAAAGAAAAAAATATAAACATGTATGCAATAATAATGCACGAGATAAAATAATACATGAACTAAATTTTTGCTCTAATCAAATGATTCAAACAGATTGATATATGATATAATACTCCTATTTTAGGGAAAAGAAAATGTGGACTCAAAGCTTTGAATTATATATTTTTAGTGAAATACGCTATAGTATATAAAATGAATTTAATGTTGCCATAAAATGGCATTTTCATTTTATATGTAAGCGTGAACTAGTTTTGAGGCACTCATGTCACAGAAGCAAACATCAAAATAAATTAAATTATTGCATACCACCTATATTTTTTTGTGAAACAGTAGTTTTTGAGAATACATTTAATAGTTTTTTTTTATTGTCACGCCGAGTGAAATTTTTTTAATTGATTTAAAGCAACTCCTTCCATTTTTCTTCTTGATATCTACTTCTAATCAACAATAAATAATTTTAAAACTAAAAATGAAAATTAGTTTAAAATACACTCTCAGAAACAAAACTCCCACTTTTGACAATTAAGCCTTTCTTGATCAATAATTTAAAAAAATTTTAAGAATCAAAAACCTCACTCTAGTGCATTGTGGAAGATTGTTAACAAGGCTGAAGACTAGACAGTATGGTGATCAAGAAGTTCGCCTCGAATCAGGAAGGTCCGGAGTTTGAATCCTACTACCGGCATGGATATTATTTATACATCTGTACTATATGTCTTCCTTGAGTTTTTAAGGTGCCATTGACTCAGCTATATGTTGCCCATGATAAAGCGATTATTGCAAAATTAGAAACATACGAGTTTTTTTTTTTTAATGAAATGACGAATTATTTAACTATTGACAAAAGTCATTTCTTCCTACAAGTGGTCGCTATTTCGTCCCTTTGACGAAATGGAGAGCTCGGAGCATACTACGAAAGTGTTTTGTCTAAAATAAAGAAAATATTGTGAAATTTGAGTGTCTATTATCTTACAATGTAGGATGCAAAGTATCAAAGTAAAACGAATTACATTATACTAAGGAAGTTAAATTAAAAATCTTCATAAGAAAAATTTGAAAAGAAAATCATTCGGTCATAAGACGTGGCTAGAAAGTGAATA